GATTTGGCATTCCATAAATCATCCACCCAAAATTGCTTTAGTATGCAATGTTTCTTCAGGCACGCAAGTCCTGGATCTCTCATACCTCAGCTGGTGACTTCTGAAGCTGCCTGCAAGGGACAGAATAAGTTCTACACTACATTGCCCTGACCTCATCATCTTCCCTGTATCTTCATGAAGTATTGGCAACACCACCTGGTGAAACACCAAGGTTCTCCTCCAGGCATACACGTATTGCTAGTCCTTCATTGTTGTTGCATCAAATCCGTGGAATGCCTTAGTTAAAACCACTTTAGCTGCACCTTCACCACATTGACTCAAGTTATACAAGTTGATTGCCACCACCTTCCCTAGGGATAGGCACAAATGCTTGCAATGCCAGTGATGTCATAACCCCAAAGTAAGTTCAAAACAGCAAAGACAGAGACCCTCCATTCTACAAATAATGCTCACATAACTCAAATATTCCAACCTATGGCTATAGGTAGCTCTAGAAATTTACAATTACTGAAGGAAAAAAGAAGATTAGTCCTTTACACAATTAAGTGAGAGGGGGAATACTAATGTACTGTTGGGAACGACAATCTAATATGAAAATCATTCTTCACTTCTATAATAATCACAAGGAAGTAAAGATTAAAAAACATCAACCTAAGCTCATGGTCATTTAGATTTCTTGGATGTAGCTACAGTATTTCTGCTACTAGCTGTAAGTTAATTTTCTAGCTCATTTAATTTTACTTAAAACACCTGACCACAGTCTTCCTACATATATCCTCACCCAGCCTGGGCTACTCAGAATTGTAACCAATCTTCCAGGTATCTGGTCATATATACACATGCAGAGATCAAAAGAATGATCAATTTGCAAAAAAAAAAAGTACTTAAGCAGCTTGTTAATTCCTGAAACAATAACCAAATTCTTAAACTAGGTTCAACAACTGCCGCAAATTTATTCCATCGCAGATTAAAAAAAAGTTAAAGTCAGGTGATGTTCTTATACCAACTTCACTCTGGTGGTTTCTCCTGTTTACTGGCCGCAAATGCCCATTATCCTTTCTTCCTGAAGTCTGAAGTGCACTTCAAAGTACAATTTTTTTCAATAGATTTTCAGCTGGAACTACTTTCTTCAGTGACCAAGTATCTCACATCACAAGCGTCGTTTCCTTTTATTTTAAAACTGCCTCCATCACAAATCAGCTCAGTAAGCTAGGTGCTGCATTAATTGTCACAAATTGGAAAAACTGCCTTAGGCAGTCACTCAGATGCAATGAAAACGGCCACTTCCATGAATATCTTTAATTAGAAGTGCTCATACAGCCCAACATCTAACTCTATGAAAACATAACCCAACGGTGCAGTGACAGAATCTTTGTGACCAGCACAGGATGTTCAGGTTACTGTACGCATGTTTCTTCAATTACACCAAAATACAAGTTTTCAATATTTAGTTTTGAAAGGAACCCTTAAAAAAAGGGCAGCCAAAATGCAATGCTTGACTAGTATTACAACCAAAGATCAATCCAGGTTTCACCAGCCTGGCTCAGGGATGCAGGGACTAATTAGTGTGACAAGGATTGTCTTAAGAAGAATTAACAATGCAGAGAGTTCCTTCATGTGGATGGCATTTAATACACTAGCAGTCCCCTCAGAAGTGTCCTGACATTTTTGTTTTAAACTCATACATTTATTGATAAGAATCTGAAGCTGCAATTCTTACCACTGCATTTTTGGTTTTCTGACGGATTGGTTTAAGTCTGTGGGCCCTCAGTGGTGACACCAACTCTTGCAACATCCTCGACTGATTCTCAGAAGGTTGTCTTTCTTGTTGGATGAAGCTGTGTGGTTTCAAAACTTGACAACAGTTGTATGGAATGTCTGCTTGTCCATTGCCTCCTTTGGCACAATGTGGTAGAAGAACCTCATCACACTTCTGAATTCCCATCTGTGTTTTGAAACAGCTCTCTTGATAAAAAGTATCACTTTTCGTTTGGTTGCTAGGATTTTTTCCCCATGCACTTGCTGATATTACTTCTTTCATAATCTGTTGTTTTCTTCCACAATAGAAATTTTCACTAGTGCTACCGGCACTAACATCCACGACAGTTTTGAATGGAGCTAGGAGATAAAATGATCATATATCAAAGAATAAAACTTGGCAAAAAGCTGCCTAAATACTGTCCAAATTTTACCAACATTACCAGAGGGACTCTTGGGGATGCTCTTCAGAAAATTTGGACACCTCTACAGGAACAGAAAAATTATGTTCAGGGAGAGGGTGATGCTCAAAAATCTAGTGCAGTGCCAAGTGGATATATGACGAGAAGGCCCAACTTGTATGCCATTTTATGGTAGGGGGCTATAAAGCAGCCATTTTATCCTTAGTCAGGGGAAGCTGCAAGGGTCCCTTGGGTCCAAATACTGAACTGGACCAGGCATATAAATATGGTGGCTAAAAGAATAGGTCAACAGTGGTAATATTGTGGCCAGTATCCGATCTCTTAACACTCATCTTCAAAGTAAGAATGCAATGGTTATACTCTCCACTTGCCTGGATGAGATAGCTCCAAATACCACAAAAAAAAACTCAACACCATCTGCAACAAATCAGCTTGCTTAACTGGCATCACATTCACTAATCTAAACATTCACATCCTTCTGTTTCAATACAGTGGCAGTATGTACCTGCAAGGCTCCCTTCAGCAACTTATCAAGACTCATTCAACGGAACCCCTAAAGAGGACAATGGCAGCAGATGCATACTACCATCTTCTCTTCCAAGTCTCACACCATCGTGGCTTAGAACGATATCACTATTCCTTCTCTCTAGTAGGATTAAACTGCTTGAAGTTCCACCCAGCAGCACTGGTTATACCTGCACTAGATGGACGATAGTGGGTCAAGAAGGCAGCTCACCACTGTCTTTAAAAGACAGATAGACAACAAATGCCAGCTTCACCAGTAGCACAAATATGGTCAGCATTCGAATAGATTGGTAGAACCTTAGCTAGTCAACTCATCTTAAAAGGATGGCTGGCACAAATATGGCACAAAAATTAAGAAAAATGTTAAAATGAAAATACACACCATTGTTTTAACATTTTTGAAATGTCTAAAATTTTGTTGCATACCATTATGTGCCTGACCATCTTCAAACCAGCGATGCGTCATGCCAATCTGAGACAACTGCTCTAAGAACGGCCCATCAGACACAGGCTCATGAGCAACTTTTGATCTGTAAATAAAATTAGGAAAACAAATGCATTATTAAGATGACACTGGCTTTTAATTAACTAAAAGGTTTAAGTGCAAAAGTTGAGAGAAAGCCATTTTTAATTTCACAAAGATACACTTTTATAGAAACAAATGTGCAGTGGAAGAGGCAGGAGATCAGCACTCAGTTAAACTGCTCACAGCGCAGATGCAGATATGACAGGTCAGATGTCCTTCTTCTGCACTTTAACAATTCAGAGATTAGAGTGATCAATTGTGTGATCTTAATTTCATGATAATGGTAGTTTTTGAATGAACGTATCAAAAATACATCATTTTGCCACAGATTGAAACAAGACTATGTGCTTGCAACTGCTTCTTGACAAACTACTATCTGAAGAAAGAAAATTTAATTATACAGACAGAGCTAATTCTGCCCAAGGTTTTGTCTGCGACTCTCAATCTTTTATCTACTCAGGAACTTGGCTATAACATGATTCACTGCAACTATATCTTCCAATTGTCTTACTTCATAGCTGCTGTCTTTCACAGTTGCCTAGAGCCTAGGCTTGATCCCATCAGTACCAGTATTATATTGCATACATGTCCCAAGAGTTTCTAATCCTTGTTTTCAAATAAATGAAGCATGTACTGTAATTAACTGAATAATAAAATCATTTAAATTTTGTTTCCCTTTCTAAAAAAGGAAGTGGGCAGCTGCATTCTTAATAGTTGCCCTAAGATTTGCGCATATTACAAAAATAATTTGCTACCAATTCTATTCAAGCTTTCACCATCCGGTATCCTACAGCACGTACAGAATTAGTTTACAACAGTAGGGGTCATTCTATTTTGTAGAAATACGAAATACTTGTACTTACTTTGCTGTCTGCTTGACAGGTGGAGATATGGCAGGTTTCTCATGTGAGCCACCAATACACGAACTGTCTTTATTGAGTTGCTGATTATCCATATAACCATCTCCATATGCATTTGCAGGATTGTACATTCCAGGTCTGGCAGAAATCGTCAGAGCATCAGCAGAGTGACATCGCTCCAAAGTACTACTGGACTTTTCTGTATTCTGGCTTTGAAAGGTACCAGATCTATCAGTGGAGTGTGCTCTACGAAGCCATCGAGAGTGAGGTCGTTCTTCCTCTGCAATTTGTACAATTCTTCCTCTGTCAGCTCTGATAATTTCAGAGTTTTGTATACTTCTGTCACTAAAGACTGCACTGCCTTCCATGGAGGAGTTATTATTAAGTCTGTTGTGAGAGGTGATGACTGCCATTTTGTTGGGAAGAAACTGTCCTATAACTTTAGTCTTTAGATGCAAGCGTCCCATTGTACTAGCACCAGAAGATCCTGTTCCTATAGTATATCCTGTTGAAATCGTGGCATGCCCACTATCCATTGAATCCTCCACAGTTTCTGAACTTTTACTTCTGGGCGAAGGGCATTTTAACATGAATGTATGATCTAATACACTAGAAAGACTGATACGGTCTTCTGGATTTTTTCGAAGCAGCTGGTAAATGAGATCTTGAGCCTCATTGGAGATAAACGTTGGCATTTTATAATCTGCCAGCATCACCTTATTAAGTGTATTTTTAACTGTGTCAGTATCAAATGGCGGCTTTCCTACCAGAAAGGTGTAAAACATGCAACCAAGAGACCAGACATCAGATTCAAGGCCATGAGCACTGTGGGTTGCAATCTCTGGTGCAATGTAATTGGGGGTGCCACACATGGTAAAATGCTTTTCATGTGGCATTTTCAATTGTGTTGCCAATCCAAAGTCAGCAATCTTTATGTTCATATCACTTGTAAGAAGAAGGTTGGAAAGAGTGAGGTCCCGATGCAGTATACCATGAGAGTGGAGGTAGAGCATTCCAGTAATAATATGATGCATGAAGTGTCGAGCTGTTTTAAAAATGTACACAGAATTATGTCAGTTTATACAGAAAGTGCACTTCAAGCTACTCTTATCTCGTCCCTTCATCATTGGTCTGCTTCATCCTTAACTCCACATTCCTACCTTCCCCCTGCAACTTTTGTAATTAAAAATCTATTTCAGCCTTGAATATCTCGAACAGCCTTCACACCCCTTTGCAGTAAAGGATTCCATTGATTCACTCCCCCAGGAAAGGCATCCATCCTAATCTGTTTTAAATGAGCACCCCCTTATTCTGAGATTATGCCCTCTGGTCTCAACTCTCCCACAAAGGGAAACAATCTTTCCAGATTTACCCTGTCGGTCCCCCAAGAATCTTGCATATTTCAGTAAGTCGCTTCTCATTCTTCTAAACTTGATCAAGTACTAGCCCAACCTACATAACTTCTCACAAGAATAGTCCTTCCATACCAGGGATCAGCTCAGTGAACTTTTGGACTGCCTTCAATGCTAGTCTATTGTTACTTAGATAAAAAGGGGACCAAAACTGCTCATAGCATTCCAACAGTAGTCAGACTGATGCCTCACACAGTTTTAAAGAGATACTTGTTAGTGTGTTCTACTGTGAAGACTGATGCAAAGTATTTATTGATCTCCTTTCCTACTTCCAGGTTCTCTAACTGTATTTAGAAACTTGTACTATGGCTGGCTTTCTCTCACGTTTTGATGCGGCACCTTATCAAATGCCTTTAGAAATCAGAGTACATCATAACTAAAGATTCCCCTTTATCAATCTTGTTATTCCTCGAGAGGTGCTCATCTCTGGGAATGCACAACTCAAGATGGCTCAGCGACAGACTGTCAGGAAGAGGAATGCAATTTGTGGCCAGGGATCAAAAGACACAGACTTTGGTCTTCCCAACATTTAGAAGAAATTCTTACTCATCCATGATTGGATATTATACAAGCAGTATATCAGAGACAATACAGATTTCAAAAGAGGTGGCGCTGATACAGTTGGGTGTAATAAATAGCAAACTTTGGTTAAACCAGCACCTATGAACCGGCAAAAATTATATACTTGAAATATTGGAAGTTTACTGCATTATCGCAGTCTTGCGGTGTCCAAATAGTCAGTTGAGGCTGCAAGTGAGAAGGCTCTCTGCTGTTAAGTTTTATTTAAGGCAAAGTTGTATTACTGTTTAAGTGATTTGTGCTGTGAATAAAGCATAAAAGTGATGTTTATATCCCCTGCATTACATTTCTATTACTAGGTGTGTTTTTACACTGATTATGTGGACCTGTTGATCAATTGGAATATTTGATCAACCGGCACACTCTTGGTCCCATAGGTACCAGTTAATAAAATGTTTGTTTTGACGTAATAGGTTTTCAGATAGTGCTGCCAAGAGGTAGAATTAGATGGAAAATAGAATGGAACCAAGAATAGATCATTGGTCTGAGTAAAATAAATCAACGTGGGAGTGGGAAGAGAAACTGATGCTTGTGATTTTGTTGGCTAAAATCGCTAGATGTGAAGAGTTAGGGAAGGGCAGTTCCACAAACTGAATGAGGGAGGAGAATACTGAAGGGTGTGTGTGTGTGTGTGTGTGTGGGGTTTAAACACAGTAAGGGAGAATGTAAATTTGAGAGTTTGATAAATACACTTTCTGTACTGTAGTGGGCAGAAAACTAATTAGAATGAATCACATGGAATTAGAGGAACTATGGGCAGATTTGGGAAGTGAGAACATATTCAGGTCTTTGAAAAAGAAATGGACATTGTAAACTACTTTCTCCCCCGCCATAAAAGAGATTAGGGTTGTGAGAGCAGGTGATAATGGCAAATTTGAAATAAAGGGGACAGTAGCTGAAGAGAGGGAACCTTTAACAATATCAGTTAACAAGGCCAGAAAGGAAAATGTTTGATGCTCAACTTAATAGGCATTGCCTTTTGGGAACAGGAAGTCTCTATCTTTGTAACAAAATAAAATCTGAGCTCCTTGCATTTAATTCTTGGAATGAGGGTGGAGACGGCACCGGGAGAAATTTTAAAAGATAATTTATGGGTGAGAAGAGAAAGCCAAAAGGGATTTGCATTCAAGTTTATTTTTAAATATGGGAAATTCAAACAGTGGATCATTCCCATTACTATCCTAATAGAGATTTTCATGTAACATATATCCCTCTTAAACTGTTTCCAGATGGCTGTTACCTTCATCTTCAGAAAACGTAGCTTTCCTGTTCTTTAGATATCTGCTCATCTCTCCATTGTGACACATCTCCAAGACTAAATAGACATAATTGTCATCTTCAAAATAGTTGTAAAGCTGAAAGAAAACAAAAACCATTTTCACGTATTTTAACAAATAAACTAGATCTTTCACTTATCTTTAAAAAATTAGTTTTACCTCCAATATAGAGGGATGCTTTAACTGACAGTGAATCTCCACTTCATTACGGACTCTCTGTACCATTCCCACTTTGTGCATTGCCTTTTTGTCAATCTGTCAACAGAAAACATCTTTGCATCAAGACATGCAGAAATATTTGATCAATGATGCCCAAGGCCATCGATCCTCAGTAATTATATTATTAAAGTACCAGCCTTGCAGGGAAAAAAAACATTAATCGATTACGGATTTAAGGCAACACAAAAATCATTATAAACCACATAACTTTGTCTACTTTGATGTGACAGATGTTATGTTAACTCTAGGAATATTTCATAACTATTTTAAAATTTCAGCAGAGAGTAAATTGTATACTTGGCCTGACAAAGTGGTTATTCATTCTCATCATGCATAAGATTCACTGCTATCAACTGAAATTTATGTTACCAACATTGTAGGGCAGGAAGCTGGAGGAAGGGGATACATATTGGCACACATATTCTCTTGCACACCCCCTCCAAATCAAGGAGAAATTTACATGCAAAAGCTTCAGATATGAAGTATTGGCTTCTCATATTCCAAGGCAAATCAGCAAGGATTGGCATGACAAGGAGATTTTTTTAAAGGCATATCTAGTTCACTTTAAGATTAGTTGGGGGATGGGTACAGGTAATAGCAAAGGCTGAAGACAGTGGCTTCCCATTATTTGACTGGTGAAAATTGTCAAAAGATCCAATCCTAATATCACACAAACAGCTCAGCAACATTTTGACTCGATCCTTAGTCTAGAAGCCAAGTAGTGGAGCTGGGCTGTCAGTACCATTTGTATGACAGCTGACCCATGCCTGATATCTTAAAGGGATAGCATGTAAATTGGCAAGACGGGAACAAGTGATGGATTCTTTGGGGATTTGGGTGACAGCTGTGTACAAGAGGCAAGACAAACTATTGCTAAAAGTGCGTTGGCTATAGGGTCATATGCATCTAGGTAGAAAGGTGGGGGGGTAGTGGCGGTGGGTGGGGGGGTCCGGGTGGAAAACAGAGAAGGTGAAAGGCTAGTCCTTTAATGTAATTGCGATAAGTTGTTGTGAAGGTCATGGCAAACTGATTTGTGAAGAGTATGCACAGATCTCAGTCAAAATCTTTCCTCTCTGAAGAGAGAAAGGAGAGATTGAGAAATGAGCAGTTTGGAGGATGGACTGTAGGAAGTAATGACAGTTTCAGGCAATGTTGCTCAGGAAAATACAAGTTAGTTATGATAGACAGAATCTGTTTTGAGCCTCTGGCTTGAAACTTTTTGTACAAGATTGAAGTATATTTTCTTAAAAACTTAGCCAAGCGTATAATTGTTCCTGGCTGTTCTGAATTGGTTTCAAGTCGGGATATTTATAACACAATCATTTTCAAAATCAATCTTCATCTAGATGGTTTAAAATAAATACTTAGAATATTTGCTGCGTCGAAAATTTATCATTAATAGATGAAGACTAAATTAGGCAAGTTTAAAAGTCAGTATCAATTTACCATTTTTATCGCTACTTCCAGACCAGTACTGACAGATTTTGCTCTGTAAACACATGCAAACGAACCCTTCCCCAACAGCGTTAAAACCTTGAAATCCTGTAAAAGAAACATTTGAGAAGAAAACGTAAGTACTGATTTTAGCACCACCTTTCCCCTCAACGATTACAAGACACCGATGCAGATTAAACTATGTCTAACGGTTAGTTTGAACGGCTCCTTAAACGCTCCAACCTGCTCACCTCGATTGTATTCTCGCCATCTGTTACTGACATCCTCACATCGCCCGAGACTCCGTATTTGCATTTCAAGTAAACGTAATTCAACACTCGATCAAGCATTTTAAAACTACCAGCAGGAACTTGGATACAATTCGTTTGACTGCATTACCAGCCAGCTGACGATTAACTGGAACCAAAGGCAACCGGAGAGTCACTAAAACGCAAGCCCGGCTTTATTCCCGCGTTACAACCAAGATCAACGGCTTCTCATCGCCAAGCAACAGTCTTAAGTCTAGCTACGAGCTCTTCAAGCGAAAGATCAACTGTCGTTATAGAATATTTACTATGAAATATAAACTGCCACCTTAGTTAAAAAAGGTCAGTTATAATGATGGTCGAGGCTCTCATTGTAATTTGAATAGCCTTTTCTTTCATAACTTGATTCTTTTATTTGCGGTTTTAAAAAGTGATAATGTTTTCCTTAAATTGGAACTACCTAGTCTCTTTTCAGCTACTTGCATTAAAAGTCCACAGTAGACACACAATCCTATGGAGTGGTAAATAATTTCCTTCATTTTAACTTTTAAAATAATCCAGGGTTTCCCGAATACGTTAACTTTTGATGAATTTTCTTATTGAATGGCCAAATTTGTGACTACTTTGTCCTTATACGCACAGTCCTACTCTAGCAATTTCTAACAATTTCAGAAATATCTTTCAATTTCCTCAACTTACAAAATGCCTCTACGAAGATCATCTGTCAACACCACCTCTCCAAGCCGAAAATCTTTAGCGTGGCTTCAGAACTTTTGTCACAAGGGACCCTAATGGCTTCTAGTGCCTTTTAAAAAAAAAAGTGTCCTCTCAGGAATCAAATCAAGACGTCTCCTAACCATTGTAGATTAATTTGGTCTTGAATTCATCTCGCTGCTCCCATATTCAATAGAATGTGGCATTGAAAGTAATCTACAGATCAACACCTTTGAGGTCTTGCTCCTTAAATAAACTCTGCTCTTACGACCTCAAATTTCTTTCCTACATAATTGGCTTCAACATGGAGCATAAGTGTTGTGATCTTTCTACCCTGGGACTCCATTGAAAAATGCTGCTAGAGAAGTTCAAAGGTCAGTGGTCACCCAACATAATGAGAAGCAACAACAAGCAGAGTAGGGATCGTTTTAGTTTTGTATTTTGAGACAGTAATAAATATACAAGAACAAGGAACAAAGCTGAAGATAGTCAGCTGGAAGAGGGCAAAATTTAAATTGAAAACCAAAATGACACAGATGGATTGAAAGCCAAAAAAAGTAGTTAGTTAATTCAGTAACTGACCAATGAGAAAAAAAACTTTGAGAACAGACTTTATCTACTTTAGCTTTAAAGTGCTACTTTAAAGGTCCCCAAATGATTTCAACGAAAAATTAAAATAAACAGGGAAAGGGAGGCTTTTGATTAACAGTGTTTGAATTGAGCTATGCAATATATGATGAAGATGCATAATGTATTACCATTTGCATTTTAAAAATTGGAGATAGAACTGAAAGTATGCAGCCAATTTATGAAGACATCGTTAAAATACAAGAGGGTCAGAATGTCATTTGGAATATAGTGAACTAAAGGTAGAAGTTAATTGCCTGGCAGGATATCTGCAATGTTAAGCAAAAAACACAGACTAGGAGCACTAGCTGTTTGAATTCAGTTTAGTAGAACTGGTAGGATTTATTAAGTTCAATGCAGAAGAACAATTTCATCCCAAAAGAACTGCACGTTGTTCGGTTAAAAAGAAACCTGCAAAATGAGAGAGCTTAGTTTTTAGAATTTCCAAATTGGGAGAGAGGTTGGGAAGTCTTCAAGCTGTGAGTTTGTGTACAAGTTTTGAAGCTGTTAGAGCCCAGGGAAGGTTCGGGGCCATAGGAGCAGAAAAGAAACTAACTTTCTAGTATTGATTAGTTAAGTAAGAAATTAAACAATTAAGATAGGATTACCATTTCACTGGACTGAGTGTCAATAAAGGATAACGCTGGGGAAGGCTTGAAACAATTTCTTCCTGTTTATGTTAAGATCTTCCTAATCAGTTACAGCTTTGTTTCTTTTTTGTGTAAACTTACATTCTTTTATTAAAATTATGTGAACATTTTCAGTGACTAAGTTTAACAATTGTAGTTATTGAAGCATAGAACTATAGAAATGATGCAGCACAGAAGGGGGCCATTCAGTTCATCTTGAGCATGCTGACCCAAAGACACCCAGATGCCTTTTTTAATCCCATCTTCACACATACAGCCTATAGCCCTGCAGTTTACAGCACTTGAAGTGCAGATTTAGTATTTTTAAAAGTGTTTAATGGTCTCTGCGTCCGCCACAAAATAAGGCAGCAAATTCCAGACATCCATCACCTTCTGCATAAAAAAGTTTTCCTCCCTCTAATCCTTCTGCCACTCAGATTCAAGCTAAGTAACCTGGTTTTTGAACTCTCTGCCAAGGGAACCAGGTTCATCCTGTCTATGCTATCTCCACCCCTAACAATTTTGTATGCTTCGATCATGTCACCCCTCAGCTTTCTTTGTTCCAATCCCAACTTTTCCTTGTAGCTACAATTCTCCAGCCCTGACAACATTCTAGCCGATTGTCACTGCACTCTCTCCAGAGCAATTATGTCCTTCCTGTAATGTGCTGACTGGACCTGCACACAATACTCCAGTTGTGGTCTCACCAGTTTCATCATTGTATCCCTACTTTTATATTCTATGCCTCTGCCAATGAAGGTGAGCATTTCATCTGCCTTCTTTACAACCTTATCTACTTGTGCTGCTATTTTTAGGGACGGTTACATGCCAAAATCTCTATCTACCACTCAGTACATTCCCATTTATTGTGTATTCCCTTTTGACTGTTTGACCTCTCTAAAATGCATTACCTCACTTATTGGCTGAGCTCCATTTGCCACTTTCCTGTCTATTCCACCAACCCATATCCATCATTTGGGAGCTTACAGCTATCCTCTACACTAGCTACTACGTGGCCAACTTTTGTGTCCTCTGCAAATTTCTCCCATTGCACCACCCCACATGTTCAATTCCAGGTTGTTAATGTATACAACAAACAGTAGGTGTTCCAACACTAAGCCCTGTAGATCAACTTGAAACAGCTTTCCATTCGCATTACCGTGTTTCTTTTTACTAAGCCAATTTTGGATCCAATTTGACACAGTACGTTGTATCCATGGGCTTTTACTGTTTTGAACCAGTTCACCACGTGGGATCTTGTCAAATGCCTTATTAAAATCCACGTAAACAACATTCACTGCACTACCTCCTTGATCCTCCTTGTCACATCCTTGAACTCAATCAAATTTCCATGGCATGACCTGCTCTTAAAGCCACACTGAGTATTCCATGCCTTTTTGGGCAACAGTTTATCCAACTACCAACCTCTCAGGATTGATTTTAACAGTTGGCACACCAAAATCAGACCAACAGGCCTATAATTGTTCAGCATTTCCTTTGTACCTTTTTAAACATATGAACCACATTCTTCTTGTGCCTCATCTGTGCTAATCCTCAGAGCATCCATTTCCTCCCTGACCTCCTTCAATATCCTGGGGAACAATCCATCTAGCCATGGAGACTTATCCACTTAAGGATTCCAATTCTTCTAATACTTCCTCTCTCATTATAATTATTTGGTCAACTATTTCACACTGTTCCTCCTAGATTACTACATCCGTATCATCCCTCATCTTTGTGAATGCACAGAGGAAAAGAAAAATTAAATTCTTCCCATATCATCTGCATCTTCACACAAAATTCCCTTCATCTGATAGGTCCTACAATTTCCTTAATTGTCCTTTTGCCCTTTATATAACGGTAAAGGAAAACACAAAAGATGTTTTATCTTGCTTGCAACTATTTTTTTTCATGCACCTCTTTGATTTCCAATCTTTAAAAAAAAAAAGCACGATCCCTGTCGTTTTTCTACTCCTTCAGGCTGTCTGCAGTATTGAGATTTTTGTGACTACCATAAGCTCTTTTTCGGTTTAATCTTAACCTGTATTTTTCTTGGCAACCATAGGGGTCTAGATTTGACAACACGATTCTTATTTTGAGGTGACACGTTTGCTTCATACCATAAGGATCTTGCTTGTTAGTGCCTCCCACTGGTTTAGCAGTCCTGTCCAGTCCACTTCAACTAAATCACTTATCAGTTTTGTAAAATTTGCCTTTCCCCAGTTGAACGGAATTTTTTTACTCCTGATTTATCTCTGACCTTTTCCATAATAATACTATATCTAACCAAATTGCAGTCACTATCCCTGATATGGTAACAGACCGTTACTTCATCCACTTGCCCATCTTCATTTCCCAAACTAAATCCAAAATTGTGTATCTTCTCATTGGGCTTGTCATGCATTGTTTAAAACAAACTTTTCCTAGACATAGTACATGAATTTCTCACCCTCGATGCCCCTTTTGTTGTTTGAAACCCAGTTGATATTGGGATAAAAGGTTTTGAGAAGATTTGTAGCTCGGGTTGTGGATGAGGTTGTAGACTTGCTCGCCAAGCCTGCATGTTTGATTGCATTGGAGCTTCACCGGAGGCGCACTGACGATATTACCTAGCAGGGTGACAAAACGTCTGCAATCAAACACACTGCCTCAGCAAGCAAGTCTACAATGTGATATTGGGATAATTAAAATCTATTATTGTCCTCTTATTCTTAAGGCAGAAATCTGTCTCTGTACATGTTCTTCTATCGCCCTCTCATGATTTGGGGGTCTGTAGTATACTCCTAGTAGTGATTGCCCCCTTTTCTTATTCTTACACAACTCAAAGCCTTCTTTGTTAACCTATTTATTTTTTCATCCCATTTCCACTGTA